CTCCAGTCTGGGCGACCGAGTGAGACTCCAACTCAAAAAAAAAAAAAATATAATTCACATTTTATATTTCTATGATTAACCATATATTTAATTTCTAAGAATATCATATTCGTGGATCAAAATAATCTGGTTATCAAACAATAATGAGAATGGGATGGGATTAAAAGACTGGTATAAATCTCCATCTCTAGCCCCCAAACAAGCTGTAGTAACCAGTGACATTAGTAAGTGAAAATATTCAGTACAATATACAATAAGGTATCGTCAGGTAAGATTCATCTTGGTGCCTTCAGTCATGGTAGGCATACCTTGGACCACAGTGGGCTAGCAACCCTTCCAAATCAGGGAAGTAAGTAGGATAGCATCAGCCTGTGAATGCTAAATTAAACAAGACTCAGATGGGAAGGTATCCCAGATCATTTGCTGCTTCTTGTTCTCAATATTCCAAGCATGAGGCAGGTATAGATTAAATCAGATTTTCTTAGAACACAAAAACTCTTGAAAAGAATGGGATATAAGAGAAGACTTTGAAAATGAAGTTTTAGAAATAGGTATAAGGACAGGCATGGTAGTTCACACCTATAATCCCAGCACTTTGGGTAGCCAAGGTTAGAGGACTGCCTGAACCCATGGGGTCGAGACCAGCCTGGGCAACTTGGTGAGCCCTCATCTCTACAATAAATCAAAAAATTAGCTGGGCATGGTGTGTGTGCCTGTAGTTCCAGCTAGTTGGAAGGCTGAGGGGAAGGATCACCTAAGCCTAGCAGGTCGAGGCTGTGGTGGCCATGGGCGTACCACTGCACTCCAGCCTAGGAGACAGAGTGAGACTCTGACTCAAAAGAAAAAAGAAATAGGTATAAACTCTCAATTCTCATTGCTTCTGAGTCTGTAAAATAAAATTCAGTTTATTGCCATGGATACAAAGATAATCTATCATAAGAAACTGGAGGATCTCCCTACTACATTCCAATTTCTTGCCATCTTTGAAGTCAGTGAATTTCCATATTCCTCCCCTGACAAACTCCTACATAACACCACTTGCTGCCTTCTCTATGAAGCTTTCTCAAACTCCTCTGAGAAGTTAGGAGCCTCCCACTGCACCCTATACTGTGCTTCTCAAAAAAAAAAAAAAAAGAAAAGAAAACTTATTTTAACATTTATCACATTGCACTATGTTACAGTCACATATTGTAAGGTCCAGATTAAGTGATTTCTCAATCTTGACATTATATGGCCTATTGCTTAGTTTCTTGAGATTTAAAACAATTTTGTTTCCAAATTCCCTTATATTATGTGGAAAGCTATTTTGGAGTTCCTAGAAAGTTGTAATATGTCGTTTCTGAAGAGTAAAACTTTGAATGAAAATTTAAAACTGTCTGATCATCCTATTTTGGAGTTCCTAGAAAGTTGTAATATGGTGTTTCTGAAGAGTAAAACTTTGAATGAAAACTTAAATCTGTCTGGTCATCCTAACATATTAAGGCTTGTCAGAAACCAAAAATTCAGTTTTATAAAAACTCTCAGGTACTGACATTTAAAGGGTTTAGACAATGTACTACCCTCAGCAAGAAGTCATAAAAAATGACTTTAAGGGGCCCACATAAGGTCTCTTCAATTTTAGTCTGGCCACACAGTCCCTATTCCTTAGGGTTTCTAACATACATAATAATCACCATCTCTTGGGTCAAATATGGCAGACAAAAAACAAAAGAAACACTAAACAGAGCAATAAGTGAAAAAAATAGCAGATTATTGCTACCACCATATGGTTGCCTATCGCCCCCTTTAAAATCAAAAATTGAAAATGATCATGCATTAGTATACTGCA